GTATGTGCATAGATACGTATGTGCATAGATACGTATGTGCATAGATATGTATGTGCATAGATACATTTATATGTAAGTGTCCGCATATATTTTTTCTCGTCACTTGTTCTGTCGCTTCACTGCAGCAAAACCAAGTTGTGGGGAAAACCCTGACGATATGCGTACAATTGAAACCATGGGTTGAAGATAGCGCAAATTGATGTGAAAATTTCAATTTCATATTAAATATATTTATGTATGCATGTACATATGTAAAAATGTAGTTTCGATTTAAAAAAATCGGATAAAGTTTTTCTTTCGCCATTCATACACCTCTAATTTTAGTATATGTATATTAAAAAAACTCAATGAAATTCAAAAACTCTATCTCGCATTTGGTTTTACTCAATACCAATTTGAGCTGTCGCAGTGTTATCAAAAAAAAAAAAGTTATCAATAGGTAGGTTCAGAAGGCGCAGCAGTTGAGCGCAACCGTTGCTAAACAAAAATCAGTGATCGTTATGCGTCTTTTGAACGACTTCATACATTAGCTGTCAAATTCAACTCTCAAAGTTACACACCAACATGTTGTCTCAAATGATCAGAAAAATATTACGATCATCTAACACGCAACTATTCAGTTTATCGGAAGTACGCAACAACGCGTTCAGAAGGTGCAATCGCACCAGTTACTGAGCTGTTTCGCCTTCTGAACGTGCCAAATGAAAATTCGTTTCTCTTGAAATCAAGTTATATGGCTGCGTATGTATGTACATATCTATGTACATATTCCGAAATTTTTTTTATTTGTAAAGGCTCTCAAGAAAAACTAAAAATTCATATAAAATTACGCACAATAAATGGAAAATAAATTTTCTTCTATAAAAAATTTCTTAAATCAGTATGCAGCTCTTAAGAAAAAAATGCTCGTACATCTCGTCGCTACCTTGTCCAACTATCGAATGTGAAAATCGGCACTTTTCAAAATTTTGATTTGCCACTAATAATTTTATTTCGTATAGCAGCATTGCTTAAGTTATTGTTTTTGACAACTTATTTGTTGGTTAATGACTGCAAATAGTTTTATAGAAAATGAGAGACGAGAAATAATACTTTCATAAAAATTTAAGTACATACATAGATTTAAAAAGCTGCTTGAATACAAAAGTTTTATGAAAATGTCACATAAACAACTGTCTAAATCTACGTTATTTTTTATAA